TTTTTTTGGTTTTTCTCCGGTACCAGGAACTGAACTCACGACCTTGTGCTTGCCAGGCAGGCGCTTTGCCGCTGAGCTAAATCCCCAGCCCCAATCACTGAAACTCTTAAAGTCCATTTTTTTGAACTCCCACACGCTTCCATGTGTAAATGAAAGAAGACCCCTGGAAATACCCATTTTTCTATTTTGAAAGATAACTCACTCGAGCATAAAGTTAATACAATTTATTACAGCCAAAGTAAAGTTGTGTTACAGTGAGCTCATAACAGACAGGTAGACGCATATCGCCAGGACGGGGTTGGGCTGTCGGGTCCCCTAAGTTTGTCTCCTTCGGCTTCAGAACTCCATTAATATCTCATCCATACGCTGGCCCTGCTGACAGAGGAGAGCCCTTCATGCCTAGTGAGGTGTTTTGAGGACCTTTAGATCAGTAACAGTGGACCTTTTAGAGCTTTCGGGGGTACAGTCCCGCTGGGACTGGGACCGTGTGTCATAGGTTTGCCGCCACAGCTTTAGAACCTTGAAATGTCAACACAAACCCTCAGTTGAGGTACAGGCCTCGGGTTATTCTGAGGGAGTTTAAGCATTCCATCAGGCCTTTAAGTAAGATTGATAACATCAAGTTGGAGGACTTTGAGTTTACAACCCAGGTTTCATGAAATTTTGCTAACTGTATGACCTCAGGCAGTTTTTTCACACCAGGGTAAAAACTGTTATATATTACCATAGAGTTGTGAGGAGACTTGTATCAGAAATCACTTAGCATAGTGCCTAGCACACAGTATACACTGGTTGGACCGTGATCATCATCATCGTGATTACTAGTATGATCAAGTATCAGTCCACCTTGCTGCCAGTCCTACCACCTCAGTCCCTTCATTTGACACAATACTGAGCACAACTGTGTTTCACGATCTGCTCTAGGACCTTGTACCTAGTAGAGAATAGAGGATTTGTTTCTTCTGTCACCTACCAGGAGACACTTCATCTTTTTGGATCCGGGTTTCTTCAAATGGAACGAACAGGAACCAGCACTATATTGAAGCACCTGAGTCCCCGCACAGTTGTGGGAGTGAGTGTCTTCTTACATTCTGTAGCCAGGATATCATGTTTGCCTACCCCTGCTCTAGCATGTCGTAGTAAGAATCCCTATTTCTCCTGATCATGGAGTTGAGGAAGCAGAAGGAGGGAAGATTATAGTTGCCTAGTAAGGGAGCACAGTGTAGTAACACTGTCCAATGAGGGAATATTAGGTGGGGCCTTAAAATATGAGAAGATGTTTACTAGATGGACACTGGATTGGTCTCCTAGGTAGGCCAAAGAGTGTATGATGGGTTATGTTTGGAAATGACAGTGTGGCTTGGGAGGAAATGATGACAAGAGCCAAGAACTATTATTTATTCACCTGTTATGTGCACGAATTATGTCCATGGCTAGGCATTTTGCAGATGTTTTCTTTAATCTTCACAATAGTTAAGGTTGATATCACACACTTCCATTTGATAGCATAACCTTGGCTAAGCCTATGGAAGCATAAAAGTTACACAGTGTATTAGTTTTCTATAGCTGCTATAACAAATTGCCCAGAACTCAGTGGGTTAAAATAACATGAATGCATTGCCTTAGAATTTTAGAGCTAGAAGCCTGGGACAGAGCCCACTTGGCTAATGTCAAGGTACCTAGGGAGAAAGCATTCCCTCATCTTTCCCAGCTCCTAGAAGCTGCCAGCACCTAGGCTTATATCCCCATCTTCCAAGTCAGCAGGCCAAGTCTCCACAGACTGTATCACTCTGACCCTCACCTATAGTGACATTCCTTCTAACTCTCATTCTCTCTTCTACTTTTAAACACACTTATGATTATTGTGAGTCCGCCCAGAGTTAACCCAAGATAATCTCCTTATTTTAAGGTCGGTTCATTAGCAAATTTAATTCCATTTGAAACCTTAATACCCCCTTGCCATGTGACCCAACTTACTCACAGGTTCTGGAATTAGGAGACAGATATCTTGGGATGGGGAGCATTACCTGCCTACACACCATGGTTTGTTAGAAATAGTGATTAGGCAAGGGTAAATTTGGATTTTATCTCAGGTTGTTAGGGAAGCATAGAAGGCTTTCAGTACTGGTGTGATATAAATAAATCTGTATTTTACATAATTAATCCTTGAATCAGAATGTAGCAAGGAACTAAAGAAGAAAAATATTGACATTTGGGGATTCAGTAGGAATTAATGAAGCAGCAGGTGTGGAAGCGGAGAAGAGGGAGTGGATGGAAGATATTTCAGAGGCAAAATCCTCAGAGCCTGTCAGCCCCTGGAATGGCGAGAGGGAAGATCCTGTATTAGTGAGCTCTCTCACTGCAGAGACAAGATACCTGGTACTGAGAAATTAGAGGAAGAAGGATTTATTTTTGGATCCCTGTTTCAAAGGGTTCAGTCCATGGTCTGCTGCCTCCACAGCAGAAGTACCATGGTGGAAGGGTGGACTGCAGGAAGCCACTTACCTCACAGCATCTGGGAAGCACAGAGCCAGAGAAGAGCCAGGGACCAGATACGTCTGGTCAGGGTCACAGCCCCAGGACCCCCTTTCTCTAACTAGGCTCCACCTCTTAATATTATTCAGCAGTGACTTCATCAGTGGGTTAAGGCACCGATGAGGTGAGCGTCCTTAGAGTCTAATTGTTTCTCCAGTTGAGCTGACAAATAAGATTAACTGAAACAGATTTCTGTTAAACTAGATTTTCTAGTTTAGGTGGTTAGCAAGATACTGATTTGTCTCTATATTTTAATGTGCCTGCGATTGTTGTAGTTCATTTATTTGTTCAAACCATTCATTTGTTCACAAAATACTTGTTCAGTATCTACTAAATGCAGGGCTATTCCAGTAACACATAGCTTAGCAAACATCAGTGAGGATGAAACACAAAAATTCCCGCCCTCAAGGAGCTTACCTCCTGACTGAGGGAGACATGCACAGTATACCAAAAAACAGGAAATACAGTATAGATTAGACAGTGTGCAAAGTATTGAAAAAAGGGTAAAAGTAGGGTACATGTTATGAGGAATCCTGGGAGACAGGCTGATTTTGTGCCCCAGGTAGTCATAGTAAGGCTCATTCAGAAGGTGGCATTTGAGCAAAAACTTGGAGGAGGTGAAAGAATGAGCCCTGTGGACCTCTGGGGAGATACATCTAGGGAGCAGCTAACACAGGACTCAGCCGCAGGAGAACCCTCATGTGTCTGAGGGAAAGAACAAAAGTCTGTATGACTGGAGCAGATGAACAAGGGGGGAAGTGGCAGATGACTCTTCTCATACCTGAGAGGGAGCAATTGGCTTGAACTGGACTCTGATAAGAAGAGAACAGTGAGAGGGAAAGAGAGAACCTGGAAGGAAGGGCTCACTCCATCCACATCTGGTTCCCGCTCTGCTTGGAACTTTGAGCACCCAGGGCTTCTCTTGACTCCTGATGTAACCAAGGAAGAGCTCGCATTAGTTGAGTGTTAATCACATGGCAGGCTGTATGTACATTAAGCCATTCAATTCTCAAAATAACATCATCCGGTAGACAGAGGGATTGGGCTCCCTTTCACTGTTAAGGAAACTGGTCAAGATGGCATAGCTAGAAAGATTGGGAGTCAGTCCTACACAGTCCAGCTCCAAAGCCCACTCATGTGGCTACGGCTCCCCATCCCTGAACTACAAGGAGCTGAAGAGCAAGAGGAAGAATCCTTTCTGTCTAAAAAGCCCCTGCTCACTGACCCCTAAAATGTGATCATTAACATTTCATCTCTGAAATAAGCACTATGGGAAATTTGGATGGGTGATATGGCAGGCTGATAAATGCATCGTCCATTTATCCAACCATGTATCCATCCATCTATCCATCTACCCATCTGTCTATCCATCCACCCATCCATCCACTCATCCATCCACCCATCCATGTATCCATTCACCCACCCACTCGCCCATCCATCCATCTACCCATCCATCCACTCATCCATCCAACCATCCATTCATCCACCCATCTATCTACTCATCCACCCATTCACCCATCCATCCACTCACTCATCCATCCACCCATCTACCCACCCATCCATCCACTCATCCATCCACACACCCAGCCATCCATCTATCCATCCATCCATCCATCCATCCATCCATCCATCCATCTACCCATCCATCCACTCATCCACCCATTCACCCATCCATCCATTCCCACTCATCCATCCATCCATCTATTCACCCATCCATCCACTCATCCATCCACACATCCATCCATCCATCCATCCATCCATCCATCCATCCACTCATCCACCCATTCACCCATCCATCCATTCATCCATCCACCCATCCATCCATCCACCCACCCACTCATCCATTCACCCATCTACCCACCCATCCACCCACTCATCCATCCACACACCCACCCATCCATCTATCCATCCATCCATCCATCCATCCATCCATCTATCCATCCATTCATCCTATAAGAGCTCTTCATCGGCTAGCTACTAGGTGCTTGGAATAGGACTTTTCTCCATGATAAGAAGAACTTGCAAGCAGGAAACAGTGTGTCAAAAAAAGAAAAGTGAGGCTGCAAGAAGAAATTTCCCTTACTTGAAGTTTTGCCTCAAAAGATGTTCACATTCATCACTTGGTAACCACTAAGTCACCACACAGTATCATGCTGCTCACCCTTCCTGCTAGATAACTCTCCCTCCACAGCTAATTGCCTTACATCTATAGCCAAGTTCTTGTCAGTTTTGTCACTCTGTTATTACACACAGTAATGGTGTGTAAGATATTAGCCTGTCATTATATATAAATGTGTCTAAGAAAAACTCATTTCCAAGAATCATTTTTGAAAATGAATCCAGTAGAGAGGTAAAAGCTTATTTTCTGTCTCCAAGGACAACATAAGTAACTCTGAGGCTTGTAATGAAAATCGTTTAAGGTGGATTTTATGCCCCCATGGGAATACCAAAGCCACAAACATATTTGGGGAGGTTATATAAAGCCCAGGAAAGAGTTAAGCTAGACACAGGGAAAAGCTCTCGTCCCTACTACTATGCCATGCCTTGATGGGAGGAACAACCCGGCCCTTTCCCCCCACTTACCATTCTTCTATTTATTTTATTATGGTTAATAACATGTGACCAGAAAAGCATTTTTATTATTTCCCCTTCAGTGCCATTAGCTTTAATTTCCTTATTTCAATAACAGAGCACAGGTGTCTTGTCTGACAATAGAACTTTTCCTTCCAGTTATCTATTGCAGTAAAAGTTTAATTCATTACAAAATAAATATTTCATACAACTCTCCCAACCCAGGGCTTGGGATATCTTCTAAGGTCAAGCATTATTTGTGGGCCAGTCCTTCCCCAATTTGTTTTTTTGTTTGTTTGTTTTTTCCACTCTCACCGTGGAGGGTAAGCTGTGTAAGCAGAGGACTTTGTCCCTAGGACAGTGTGTGCACATGGCAGGTGTTCAACATCATAGGGCAGATGACAGACACTATGTCCACTCTCATCTCTCAACAGCCAAATCATCTTTCTACATGAAGAATTTGTCTCTGAAATGGTAAGGGAAAGGATTTAATTTAAATGTTAACTCCCTGAAACACTGGTTAGCTTTAGGATACTTTTTAGACTAACTGCATCAAGCATTTGTTCAAGATCTACTGTCTATAAGTAAGGAACTCTACTCAGGATGCTGAGGGCAGAGTAAAGGTGTGTTTGCCCGGAAGGGGCTAATATAGTAGTCAATATAGTCACTAGTGTGAACCTGGTGATTATTTGCCAAAGGAAGTTAACGTGACCTCAACTCCCTAATTCCCCTCCACGGTCTTCAGTATTCAATTGCGCCGTCTGTCTGGTGCTTGAAGACCCAACTTATGGGCTCTGCAGCCAGACTGCCTGAGTTCAGGTCCTGACTCAATCAAATACTGTATTAGCTCTGAGACTTTGACAACTTGCCTTTTCTAAACCGCAGTTTGCTAATTTGTAAAATAGGAATAAAGAATGAATTAATCACGCAGAGCTGTTGATTAACTGAGCTCATCTTTATAAAATTCTTAGGACTAGAACTGGTAGAGTGTAACTGACCATCAATATTAGTATATTATTGCTACTTTGTGATAGGTGATATTTTACACAGCTGTCTTGAACTATACTATTCATGTCTATTGTTGTGTGCTTTAAAATCAAAATATCTTTCTTACTTTTAGAATGATACATGGTCATCATAAAAGATTTAAATTATATAGAGAAAGGCAATGTTTCTTTGTAATCCTATCAGCAAAAATAAGCATTTTGGTTCAAAATTTGGCAAACTTTCCATATACTAATTTATCTAAGAATGTACAGATACACTTTCAACATAAATACGTTACTATACTATTCCACAAATGGCCTATTTATTAATGTGCTAAAATCATCCATTTTGTGTCATATGAAAAGGTCTATGGTATATATAAGCTTCATTTTGTTAATGGACATGTATACTATTTGCTGCTTTTATAGTATTTGTAAAGATTGGGTCTGCAGTGACCAAGTTAGAGTACATATGTCTTTTTTTTGGGGGGTACATATTTCTTGAAGGGACTGTAACTGTATTCCTTCTAGAGCTCTTCAGATAGAAATACCTAAATGAACATTTATTGATTGGCTGATCATTTTAAGAGAACTGAACAAGCTGTAGAAGTCAGCTTTAACTGCAGAAAGTTCTATTTCTAAACTTTTTCTAAACATTCTAAAAAAGATTCGAATTCGCATGATGTGAGTATTTTTCAGGGTTTCTGTGAGGACAAACTAAAGTAGGAATTTAAAGTGCCAGAAGCCTACGAATTTCAGTCTGTGCTGCCCCTTACCGCCGTGAGAATGCAGTTAATAGGAAAAGCTTAGCCGTCACCTGCCTGTGATAACCCAGGCATCGCCCACAGACGGTGCAGCAGATCACCTCCAGCAGATCGTCTCCAGGAACCACTCTCCGCTCTAGGATTCTATTCTTTAGGAACTTGATTATACTAAAGATAAGCAAGAGGATGGAGATAAAAGCATGGAATAACTGCTCATCCTGATCCATCCAACAACCAATAATTATCCACATGGTGTTTTTAAATTAATACAAAAGGTTAAAATATGCCTCATGAGGTAAAGGAGTGGCACTTACATTAACATTTCATTACCTAATTCAGTTTGCCCACAGAAAGGAGACACTAGGTAGGAGAGTATCAGTGAGCGCAGTTGAACATGGAAACATGGGAGAGGAGATGATTATTGAATAGGATTCAGTGACCCTGTTTATTCAGAGTTTCTTAACCTTGACATTGTCGACATTTGGAACCATACAAATCTTGCCAAGGAGGGCTCTCTAGCACATAGTAGGATGTTTAACAACATTATTAGCCTTTACCAACTAGATGCCAATAAGCTCACCCTCTGCCACATTTTCATATCCAAAAATGGTTCTAAACATTGTCAAATGTCTATTAGAGGTAAAGTACCCCCTGAGAACCACTGATATAAGTATGTGTATATATTTTTGTATAGCATTTTACACATTGCATATACATTTAATACTCATAAGAGTTGTGTGTGTAGGCAGAGTAGATATTCTCCCCCATTTTACAGATGGGGGAGTTATAATCCCATAATACTAAATAGCATGAACTTAAAATTCACACTTTGAACCACTGAGATGGCATTGTGGATCAGATTAGAAAAAGATAGTCTATGTGTTTTTTTGTTTGATTTTTTTGTTTTGTTTTGGGGGGGTTGTTCATTCAATTTTTTTACTTTTTATTGTGGTAAGTAACACATGAAAGGGAATCTAACTTGTGTGGTTTTCTCGTATGTTTTGAATATCAACCCCCTTATCAGATATATGGCTTGCAAATATTTTCATCATCTAGTGTGCCATCTAGTACCCATTACATGGGGTCTTTGAGCAGTAGGTGAGGCTCTACTTTATTAATAAACACCTGGCTTTCTGATATGCCCAGGTCTCTACATTCATGTCTTTAGTCTCATGTCTTTGAGTGTAAAGGTGGAAAGTCTTTTTGATGAGTGCATCTTATCTGGGAAAAGTGATGCTGGACCAATTACTCCCACATTCTTTTTTTTTTTTTTTTTTTTGCACTTTTTTATTTAAAGATTTAAAAAACTAACAAAACAACAATGAAGACAAAATCAAAACAACACAAAAACACTACATGACCTCAAAACAAAATGCTAGGAGTTAACAATGGTTGCTACACCACATACTGTTATCTTCAGGGAAGTTGCTCAGTCCACCAGACATAAGAATGTGAGACTGATCAAACAATCAAAGACAGTAACAAGTAATAAAAAAAAAAACTATTGGAAATGATGCGGAGCTTCACCATACACGACAGCAGAGCAATCAAACTTCCCCCTTACCTGAGGACCACGAAGTATTGGTAAGGCAGCCAGCACCAGAGAACAAAAACGACTGTGAGATGCAGCCGTGTGATGCAGAGTTAACTCGGGGTTGAATTCATCAGCTGTGGAGGTAATGGTTTGAAGAAAAAATTGCAGAGTTAGAAAATGGGATAGCGTGTGAATAAGTGATTCCCGTAACTATGACGATATGTCTTGAGGAAGTGTGGGCCTCCCACCTGTAAAACCCTTCCATTAATTAACAGTGCTATGTGGAGACACTGTTATGCAGAAAGATTCAAATAGGTAAAAGCTGCGATACCAACAGGCTTAAGAGCTCGTGTCTTGAAGAATAAGGAAACTGCCTGAAGACAGGGAATTGCAATCTGCAGACATCAGAGATGGGTGGTTTCTAGAAGCCCAAAAGAGCTAGAAACTCTAGGAGACGGGAAATAAGGGGAGGAGCCATAAAAATCCACCGCAGTCCCCAACTCTCAGGCTGAGCCCGAAGTGGCACACACTGACCTCTATTAATTTGCACCTGTCATTTCACCGGTGGCATAGGTATCAACACGGCTGCCTGTTTCTGGGGAGGCCTGTTATTATATCAGAACTCAGGTTTGTAGACAGTGAGAGTGTCATCACATTAAGAACAATCTGCTTCACATGTGTGAGATAATAGGATTTGAGGTTAATGAGCTCATGTCTGGGCTATCGATCCAAATGTGAATGAATTGTAATTGGCCATCGTTCAATGCCAACTTATAACCAGCCTGCGCAGTATGAATGGGACACTTTATTCACTGAAATAACTACAGAACCACAGAAACCAAAACTTGCTCACAGAGCTGGACAACTGCCAAGCACCCCTCCCTCCCTTCCTTCCTCTCCCCTCGCTTCTCTACTTCCAAGTGAATGAGAAATTGTTAGAAGGGTGTAGGGTAACACACAGGCCACCATAAACTCCCCTCCCAGCAGACTGAAAAACTGTGACCTAAGATATGAAGGGCTTTCCTTTTTACCAGAAAGCATTTTTTTTTATTATTTTGCCATCACAAACCCAGATTTTGAAAGATTTAATCTCTAAGTATCAAGGTTATTTAAAACAAAGATGTTCTAAGTAATGCCCCATTCAGCTCTAATTTCCTACGATTCTGTTGATGGTACCACTGTTTTATTTTATTTTTTCGGGGGGCGGTTTCTGGTACCAGGAATTGAACTCACGACCTTGAGCTTGCCAGGCAGGCGCTGTGCCGCTGAGCTAAATCCCCAGCCCCAGGTACCACTCTTTTAGGTGACGATATTTTCTATAGAATTTTACCCATAGATGAAAATATGATCCATGAATAGCACTGAAAATTTATCCACTTAACTATCATTGAACAGAACTCCAATGGATACTAGAACTGGTAAATTAACTGAAGGACGGAAAAGCATCAGAGAAACATGAGCGAGCAGAAGCACCAAAGCACCACACTGGACCCCCTGAGGAGCCAAGAGCAGCGGGTTGGAGAGTAAAATGTAGTGCACAGAGTATGGGACTTAGAATTGGGTTTGACAACTACACTTGGTCATGTATTTTGTTTTTTTAGTCATGTATTTGATGTGCAATAATTTGGCAAGCCCTTGGAGCTCTCTGAGCCTCTGTCCTTGTATCCAGGTATACTAATATTATTATGTGAATAATAATTATTATGTATACGGATTAATCTCAAAAGCATGTTGAGTAAAATAAGTCTTACAAAAGGATAGCTATTGTATGAGTCCATTTACATTAAGTTTGAAAACAGACAAGAACGTATCTACCACGGTAGAAAAACCTAAACATTCTCTCAGAAGTTAACTGGAACTTACACTTAGCCATGGTCTCAATTGTCTGTCTGAATCTTAGTTGATAACAAACATGAAAACAAATGCACACGCTGCACAGTGAAAACAGTAACAACATTGGGCCCAGAGCTCCCGCTTAGCCAAGCTCATGAGAAATGGTCAGGGCGACACAGCAGACCCGAGGGTGATGGCTTTTGTCACGGGATCATTACTATGAATCAGCAAGAAAATCCTTTTCACAAACTCCTCCACGTTCAGAATCTTCTCCAAATGTCTCTCACTTTGCCGGGTAACTTTAAGTACACACAGCCTCAGGAAATTGTTTCCAACTCTGAAAACATCAGCTAACTTTAGGAATGCAGAACTGATGAGAATGGGGAATGGATACTTCTGGAAAAGGATAGGAACGCGAACTACTGCTTCCGGATCTCAGACCTTTGTCGAATTCCATAAGAGTAGGATTAGCATCCAGGTCCTGCTTGCCATACCCAGCATTTGCCAGGAGCTGAGTTTGATGCCATGACCTCAGTAGTTACTGGACAAGCCTCATCAGAAAGATCGCACACTCTGCCTCAGCACCGCCACCCTCTCCCACCACCCTCTCACAAGCACTTTTTTTTTTTTTTGGTCTTTTTGAGACAGGGTCTCGCTATGCAGTTCAGACTGACCTTGAGCTCATCTTGTAGCCTAGGCTGGTCTTGAACTCAACAGCAATCCTCCTGCCTCAGCCTCCGGAGTGCTGGGATTCCAGGCATGCGCCACCACGCCCAGCCCACAAGCATTTTTAAAGCATTAAAAGAAAACTGGGCACATTTGGCTATGCAGTACAACGATTTGCTGTGTGGCTACATTCATCCGTAACTCACAAAAAACACTAAATAGCAAGGTAAATCCTTAATTCTGCTGGTGAAGATTGTAAACTCTTAGCTCCAAAAGTCACGCTGTAGTCATGAGACTCAGACGAAACCTGAAGTCCCAGCGAAGAACCTGAAGCTAGGTTTGCATCCTTCTGACCAAAGACCAACACTAGGGGGAGACTCGCTCCCTTCTCAGCCGAAACGATCTGCAAATCCTCTCAGTCACCACAGGCTCTAGGCACAGATCATAAACAGCCCCAAGTTCGGTAATTGATTAACAGAGATGGGCAGGCAGCAGATGTCACCCAGGGGACAGAATGAATGAGACCCAGCCACGTGACGGAGAGTTATCTTCCCAAAATCATTCCAAAAAATCTAAAAAAAGTTAAATAAGATGCCAAAGGTCTTAATTCATTAATGTTATCAAATACCATCAACCTTTTTACAACCATAACAATTTGATGTTCTTTGCTATAAAGGTGATATTTAATGATATCAGTGGTGACATATTGATATTACTGATTATAAAAAAGTAATTATAATACCTAATTGTAAAAAGCTTTATGTGCACTTAAAAAAAAAAATTCTTCCAGCAATCCAGTGAAAATGTATTAGCTATTCTTCTGTCAGAAACATTTTTAAAAATTTTTTTATTTTAAATAGTAAAAGAAGGATAACATAATAATGGGGGGGCTTACAGACAAAGTGGTAGGAAATTATCAATGGTTATTGTTTTACATATTGTTGTCTACAAAACAGTTTCTCAGGAAAACAAATAGACAAATACTAGTGAGTTACAGACAAAAGAGGTGGGAGATTATCAATAGTTGTTGTACTATACTTTGGTTTCTTAAAGTGGCTTCTAAAGAAGATAAATAGAGCTACACATGAGTGACCTATTGAATAATCACTAACTATTTCTGTCAGAAATCTTAAGGCACAGAGAGATTCAGTGACTCAAAAAGCAATATGGAATAGCGCGTAAGAGCAAAGTGTCGAATCAGATGATCAGGCAAGTCTCAGCTCTGCAATGTAGTAGCTGTGTAACTTGGCAAGCTGATTAACCTTTCTGCTTCTTATTTTCCTCACTTATAAATGAGAGTAACAATCGCACCTACCCTCGTGGGTCGTTGGGAGAGTTAAATGAGTTAATAATACATGTAAAACACCTAGAACAGTGCTTGGCACATAGTAAGCACGTAGCCATTGCATGAGCCAGAGTCACATATTTATTTATTAAACTACAGATCAGTGCCTTGTATCAAACACCATGTTAGTCCTGGAGAAAAGTAGAGGAAAAGACCTTATAGTTTGTTGGGAAGACAGACGCGCAATTCTCATAATCGGAACGTGTGATGCATTCCATGCCAGAGGAAGTAGATGCCGTGCAGCGCGTGGCGGGGAGGTTAGGGGTCATCTGTGGACGCAGGCCCCGGATGGGAAGCCGACTACACTTGAAACTGCAGCAGCCGCAGCAAAAATCACCAACACTTCTGAAAGTATTTTCAAGGCTTTGGAGTGGGGAAGATTCCATGAATTGTAATATCTAGTCTGACCTTGGAAACATTCTGGACAATTCTCTCAGCTCTTGGATTTTCATTTCCAGACACACAAAATGTCAATCACTCTGGTTACGCTAAGAAATAAGTAAATCATGATAGGGGCTTCCGTTGTTTGTGAAGAGTTCACAAAGGCAAGAAAACCTGGTGGTAGATCAATGGATAACTGTCAACCACATGCCTTTTCTTAGAAGAGATCATGTTAAATTGCCATGTGGCCTATACTAGGCAAACATTAATAAACTCCCTATTTTGATTCATTAGAGAACACTCATTTGTACAAGGTGCAAACATTTCCATCCTGAACGGATGTAATCCAATCAAAATAAAATTTCCTATTACCTTCTCATTGCAATAAATTAGCAAAGTACAGAAAGCAGAAAGGGGTAGAAAAACCACCCACAATTCCATCACCACTGTTAAGATTATTCCTTTCAACCTTTAAGTACTGTTTTCCTTAAAATAATTGTGATTATATTGCATAACTCTAAGGCAATGAAAATACTTTTTAAATGTGATGGAGGAGGAATGTTAGGTACCATTCACCTCTCTCAAACTCTTAAGTTATACTACACGGCTCCTCACCACACCAGGCGCCCCGTCCCAACCTGTTCACTCACTTACATAGCACTTTCCAAGGGGTGCTACCAGGATCTCTTGCTGCACTCAATTCTCCTACACTGCAAAGCTGGGTCTTACTCATCTCTGTATCCTCATTACTCTACAACTTTCCTGGTACATAGTAAACGGTCAATGCTTTTTTGGGGGGTGTGTGTTAAATTAAACTAGCTTTTTTGAAATATGGCAACCCTACTGCTGCCTTTGTACATAGCAGGAGTTGTTGTTCAGTTCTCTCATTTCATAGATGAAACCAAAGTAGTTAAAGGACAAAGGTTTCTATGCATAAGTGATTGCAAAAGAAAAAAAAAAAAAAACAGATGAACATAGAAGCTGAATATTCTGTAATTCCACCACCTGAAGATAACCACTATTCAATATCTTTATGTAATTTGCACAAACGGGATAATAGCGAAACATTCTCTTTATCATGGGCAATTTCTTACAATGCAGCTTTTTACAAAACCTCTTCCACCCTCTTCTCTATGAAACACCGTCCTGCTCCGCCCCAGAATCCACGTAGCCAGCTTTAATGACCAGTGTGGATCTTCCCATGTTTTCCAACCTGCTAGGCACATGAAGACCACATAAATAAATACATGCGGGGGGCTCATCATTGTTTTTCAAATATGAACTCATAGTATAGCTACATATTTCTAGATCTTTTTTTCACGCTTGACAATTTGTTACAGAAATATGTCATGTCACCTGATTTTGATCTACCTCTTGTGATGGGGGCCCCTGCTCAGATGCTCTGCTGCACGGGATTCTACGGCGGTGGGTCAGATGCTCGGTAAGCTCCTGCATGAATGCTGGCTCAACCTTCGCGATAGGAAAGGGAGCCCCATGGCAATAATAAGTGCCCAGCCCTGTGACAGCAAACCTCTGGCTTCTCCAGGTGGAAGGGGTCCACCGTTCCTGAGCTGTCACTAAGGCCTGATGGTCTTCTTGAGGATTCCTGTCCATTCTTGTCCTTCCACATTCCTGATCAACCAACCTGGTAGGCTGTTGGCCTCTGCTCAGTCTTCCAAGAGCCCCCCTACCAGCGAGTTTGCCCTGTCCTCTGAGGTCCTTGCCAGTGTCAAATCCCATGTCCTGAGGAAGTTCCCAAAAGCCAGTGAATCCCTGCTTATCCTGTTGCCCGTTCTGCCTCTTTGATTAAGTCTCGGCAAAATTTGTTCCCTGGCGTACCTTCCTGGCCCCTGCCAATAAGAGTTAATCTCCATAGCATCTTTAACGTATAATCTCTGTTCTCCCTTATCAGGCCTCAAATGTCCCCAGCTGGTTTTTGCTGGAAATGAGCACTGGTTATCTCACCAGTTCTCTTCTGGAGAGACAGGAGGGGCTCCCCCTCAGAGAGACACCTGCTGTCCTGTGGGGGTGGGGCCTGGGTAGTACCCGGGCTCCACTGCCCTTCTAAGTGCTGGTTACCCCCACTGCATTCTAAAGACGTGAATAATCAAGAGCATTCCCATCTACTTCGGTCACCTCTGGCAACGCTTTTAGCCATTGGGTTTTGACCTCATGCCAGGGACTGTCTGTGCTGTACCCATTACACGGACAGCAGGCTGATTAGAATATCACACTCTATCACCGGAACCTGTGAATATGTCTTCTTACACTGGAACACTTAGACGATATTAAGCCAAGGACTTTTGAAATGACTTCATCATAAACTCACTGGGTAGATCCAATGTAATCACGAGAGCCCGTATGAGTGAAAGAGGGAGATTAAAAAGAGTTCAAGAGAGGGAGAGATTTGAAGATGTCATGTTACTGGCTTTAAAGATGGAGAAAGAGACTATCCATGAAATACAAGAGGCCTCCAGAAGCTAGAAGATGCAAGAACAGATTCTCCTGAAGGAACACCACCCTGCTGACACCTTTTTTGAGCCCAGTGTGAGTCACTTTGGACTTCTATCTTCTAAAATTTTAAGATAACAAATGTGTCATAGAGTAGTAATTCAGGGTAATTTGTTACAGCAGCAAAAGGAAGCAAATACAGTGGAGTAAGGTCCTCCTTGCCACCAGCGAATGATCCGCCCCCAACCGCGTACTATATGTTTGGGTCCTCTGAGAAGCAGCCTTCAAGATGAATTAGACTAGCTAAAAGTTGTTGGAGAAAACACTAAGCATAAATGGAAAGAGGAGGCAGAAGCAGGGAGCTCTCCAGGCTGCGATGGAGGTCCAGCCCCTATAAAGGAGGGAAGGGCGAAAAATTGGTTAGGGAAAATGTGGCCCTGAGCAATCCTCGGCCGGCCATCCAGGGGCCCAGGACGCATTGTCCAGCTTGGGGAGAATGTGACCTTGCAGTACATGTTCGTTATTTCCTCTTGGCTGAGACACAATACTAACACCCACAGCGTAACTGGGGAAAGTTGACTGGGGCTCGTGGTTGGTAGAGGTTTCCGTCCATGGTCAGCTGGCTCCAAGGCAGGGCAGCATGGCAGAGGAGAAGCAGCTCATAACACGGCAGCAAGAAGCAGAGAGGAACCAGGGGGAGAGGGAGGGAGAGAGACCCTTACAGGCCACGCCCCCAGAGACCCACCTCCTCCAATCAGGCTTCCCCTTCCAAATCACATTTAGCTGTAAACTCGGGGAACTAACCCACTGATGAGTATCATGCTCCTATGATCTGGTCACCTCGTGAAAGCCCCACCTGCGAGCACATGCGGCTTTGAAGGGACACTCAGGTATACACCCTAACACGGTAAGCGCTACGGCCGGTGCCAAGGTGTTGTAGCTACAGGCTGCCAACCAGTGACGCTTCAACAGCCAGAAGGGAGATCCGAGAACCGTTTCCACAGTCGCAGGCCACCCAGCCCAAACCCAGCTCACGGCCTCAGCTAGAAAGCCCTTAAATGCTTTTCCTGTGACGAAATTTTATAGCTAAGATTCAAGGAGGAACGTGTAAAGTGACTCGATGGAACACATTTCTTACTAGGAAATTTAAAGTTAATTAATTAGTTAATTGGGGGACTGAACCTCAGGCCTCCACACTGATCCCAGCCATTCCCTACCTTCTTTGGGGACAGGACCTCACTACGCTGAGAAGTTGCCCAGGTTGGGCTGGAGCTGCCAGTCCTCCTGCTTCAACCTCTGGATGCGCTGGGATGCTAGACATGCGTCAGGCAGACGTTACTCACCAGTCAAAGCCCCCTGTCCACGGGAGCAGAGGCTTAACCCGTGAGCTTGCCACTGGGCAAGAGAGTATCAGCGCATATGATGCCTGCCGCTAAGGGGATCCCCAAGAGACAAAGGGAGAGATGGAGCAGCATATACCCAGATACTGACCCTCTGATTTACAGATTAGACAAGTCACTGCTCCTCAGCTCTTGGAGAGTCTAGGAGAGTGAAGAGAAAATAGAATTTCCTTCAAATGAAGCTTTCTCCTCATGGAAAAAAAAATATGTCAAAAGAGGGAAGTGATACCCTTCTTCATCTGATAGCTAGACCAAATGCCTTTCAATTACAGTGATATCATAAATTGCCAGATTGCTATCCAAAGAGTAAAAATATCAGTGTTGAGAGGAACTTCCATATCCATAGAGCGTTCGGTATTATCAGTCTTTTGATTTCTTCAATTCTGACGGGCAGCAGATATTTCATCTTTATTTACTCTGCATTTGCTTAGCGGCTGGAGAGGCTTTCTATGTGTCAACCGTCTTTACAATGCGACGGGCTGTCTGCTCAGCCCATTTCACTGTTGGGTTGTCTGGTTTCTCTTGCTCGTGTTTGTAGAAGGTGTGTACACACTGCAGATACGAACTCCTTATCTACCACACACACGGCAAATATTTTCAACCTATTTTTTGCTCATTTGAATGGCATATTTTATCAGACAAAACATTTAAATTCTCATAAAGTCAAATATATTTTTGTTTTACAGTTTCTGGGTTCTCTATCTTTGTTTACTTGATTCCCCTGTGCCCACGTTTTAAAATATAGTATCCTAAATTTTCTTCTATGATTTTACTTTTATTTTTGCATTTACTATTTCACTCACCTGAAATTTAGTTTTTGTGTTATTGTTTCTGACCGTGAAATAATACATGTGACTTGTAATCGTTTTAAGAAACCTTATACTCTTACATAACAAGAAAAATGTTTACTTATAATTCTCCACCTTCCTAGTATATAGCCTGTGCAAAAATGTCTACACTACTTTCTAGTTTTCTTTTCTATGCAGTGCACATGATCTTAAATTTTTTAACGTGATAAATTGTGTTATTTAATTGCCTTTGTCATTAGTACAGTTTTTCAAAGGTACCGTCATTTTGGCAAGCGTGAGGTCATGAGTTTGATTCCTGGTACCAAAAAAAGAAAAAAAAAAGGTACCATGATTTAAATACATATGTATGAACATTCACATTTGTTTTCAATTTTTTGCTATGGTAATGTCCATGATGCTGCCTTTCATTGTTAGGCTATAGGTTGCACTTTATTGAAAAGTTCACTCCAATATGTATGTTTGTTCAATTTTATTTTTATAGTGTATCTTAAGCATTTGTTCAGTTTTTTAAATTTTTTTTTTTTTTTTGGTACCAGGAATCAAACTCAGAACCTTGTGCTTGCCAGGCAGGTGCTTGTGCCGCTGAGCTATAGCCCCAGCCCTGTTCAATTTTGATAACATCTATAAGTACTCATTTAAAAATAGGTGAGGAGAAGAAAAGAAAGTCCTTTTCTTCTTTTTCCCATTGGGTCACTGCACTGAGACATATCTGAATGAAATGGGGGATGTGGAGCTACCTCTTAAAAAAGAACTGGCCCTCCAGAGCACAACTGGTATTTAAGGAATTCTTTCTAAAGAGCACCAAGGACAAGTACAAAATTGAAGAATTCAGGAGTAAAAAAAAAATAAGCAATAGATGCAGCATCGGGGAAATCTCCAGGTGGAAGGATCCAAAAATCCCAAAGCACCAGCAGTCAAGGATCAATAAGGCAAGGACACCAGTTGGTTTAATACCACCACCGCCTACACACCAAGAAGCCAGCTCTTTTGGAAGGACCCAGACATAGATCAATAAATCATTCATTTCAGGATTTTTCTAGAATTTTAAGGCAGAGAAATGAATAGTACAAAGAGTAAGAAGGAGTACAGGAAGGACAAATTCCAATCAAGAACATAGAGCCTCTTTCTTATTAAATGGCAATTTTAAAATAATTCTGAATATTTGGAAATAATCTAAGTGCAACAAAAGTGCAGACCCTCTGCTGTCACATATATTATTGTTTTGCTTTGAAATTCATGGTATCCCTCTGCTCTCACTGTCCTCTGTGTCTGACAAAATCCCAAACGGGAGAAGAAAAAAAAAAAAAATATATATATATATATATATATATATATATATCATTGATCCCTAGTCAATAAACCGTGGAATGTGGAGTTAAGCGGGAGTTCAAGCTCAGCTAGGCTGGCTCCAGTGTTGTACCGTGGGGGAAGGTAAGGGCTGGAAAACAGAAGTCAGGGGCTAGAGGTCGTGCAGCTGGTTACCTGCTAACCTGGGGTGGAAGGACAGATTTCCCGTCTGTGAGCAGAGGGCTCCGCCACCTGCTCACAGATCCACAGCGACGTGGCCGTGCTCATCCCGGCGCTTGTGACGGGCAGTAGCACCCAGCTAGAAGGCAGTGGGACGAAACCGACATGCGTGTGTGGAAAGCAATCATTTGAACACTGACATCAGTCCTTGGCTGTTTATAACCGTCAGTGTCTGCATGCGAAGTTTTCTGCAAAGGAGATACCAGACCGGGTGATGCAAGAGGCCGGGCGCAGCGCAGGGCCGCTCCACAGTGCTGGGGTCCCGGAGGGCCTGTGGCCGCCCTTTGCCCTACATCTAAAGAGGAGGGAGCGGCTCGACCTGAATGGCTTTTGCTCTTTATTGCTGCTGTTGTTGTTGTTGTTTCAACACGTAGTCGCTGAAGTCCTGGCCCTCAACTACTTTTCCTCTGAGGGAAATTTTATGTTTAAGAGCCAAGTGGAAATGCTCAAAAAGACAGGACCGAGCACAGCTCTTATTAGCGAATTAAAACTATTTGTTATTTTAAAAAGACATCTCTTGGCTTGATTTTATTTTACGTGTAAAGTTTTAAAAGATTAGCGAAGAGAAAAGCGGGTGTAGCCCAGACGAGAAATTCTTGACTTTGTTCCAGGGTAACACATGTCCCATCTAGGAGTCTCCCTGCTCTGGAAGTTTCTGCCCAGAACCTGGCTTGCTGGATACAGTTCCACTTTGTCTTCGCTGCTACCATTGACAAAACACACTGGGATCAAATGTGGATATTTTAAAATAAAAGCTGGTATAGAAGTCAGGGTTCATTAATCCAGAAGCTGAAAATGTTCTGACTGTGTGTATATGATATGTATTTATTATTACTAGTAGTAAAATCAATCTTCTACAAATTGGAAAGGGAAAAAAGCTGGAGAGATGGGGTTCCGAAGGGAGCAGGAGATATAAAACGTATTAGGGTGTGTTCTGTATGTGCACCAAATTCCCACAATGAATGTAATCATTATGTACTGTAAAAATGTACTACTAATAATAAAGATTAAAGACTAATAATAAAGATAAAATGGTCTAAGTTATCCTAGTTGGAAATTAATTACACACAACCGTACTTATTTTAATAACAATAACAATATTGATTGGAAGAAATCATTTTAAAGTGTTTGCCCTCAAGGCCTCACGCGGTCATAGGTAGGGGTCTTTCAGAGGTGGCTGGATCTAGGGTGTGTGATGCTGGGACTGATTCATGCAGCAGTGCTAGGATCAAGGGCACTAGGATTGAGGGTGTGAGTGCTGCCTGCCCTGAGTAGCCTGGACAAGATATAAGGGATAGGAAGAGCTGTGGCTGACCCTTGCTTGCTTTTGCTGTCTTCTGCATGCGATGAAGTGTTTCTCCTCTGTGATGTCTCTCTGCTGTGCCACTCTGCCTTGGAGCCAGCCAACTATGGACTGAGACCTCTACGAACTGGAAGTCAAATAAACTTTTCCTCCTTTAACTTTGGGTGTCACGTATTTTGACTCAGCAATGAGAAAAGTCACTAAGACACATAGAATACTCAATAAATTTTAGATACCACTACGATAGTTGAAAACAACTACCGACTGTCAATTGCTTGTAAATATTTCAACCTCAGGGTAACCTGTAATCACAAAGGCAGCACTTCCGGGTAGCAGCCCCCTCTGGTGCCCTGTATCACACATCTTCACCCCTGGAATCTGTCACAGCTGCAACGGACAGTTATGTGAAGCTGTTCCACCTTGCACTAAGAGTATCCCGCCTCAAACGTGAGCCTCACCATGCTCTTTTCAACTTTATGGAGCTTACCTGCCTGGGCAGAGGCACACAGCCTGGAAGTCCAGGAGAGATAGAGCTTGTGGAGAAACCTTTGAAAATCCACTGTCTTGTGGGAGAACAAGTCTAAGCCATGTTTTGGCTGTCAGCATCTTAGATGTTCTCAGCAGAACTGCCCTCCCCATGCCACTCCCAGAGGATTATTCTTCCCTGTCTCACTGCCCTCGTTTCCTGACTCCTGCTTCCCAGAGTCACTGCCCAGATTTACCACCTGCACCCTTTACCTCCTTGTCTCAGGCTCCATATTCCAGGAAATCTGTACTAAAAGTCATTCCACTTCCCAAAGCTCAGCGACGTCTAGAAATACAAAGTAGAAGTGCTTTTTGGGTTAATGGTCCTCAAACATAAAACACACTCACATTATTTTTGCTTTGCATTAAAATTTTTTGAAATGGAAGAGATTACATGATATGATAAGATAGGAATTTTGTAAAATAAAGCTCATAATCTTACTGAGGGAGACTCTTAAAAGGTTATGGAAAATAATTGGGTAAAGGATTGGAGGAGAGAAACAGGAGAGAAAATGCAAGGCTTTCAGCAACTTTGATCTTTATTTCCATGCTCTGCACCAATGAGCGAAATGATCACTGGCTCTTGCTCAGCTCAAGAGCGTTTATTGTGCAATTTGTGGACATCTAATCAATTCAAGCTCAAGCTCTTTGGCTGGATGGGGTCCTGGCAGAGGTCCAAAGGCTAATGGATAACTTTTAGGAAACATATCATGAGTGTTTGGCCACAAGTCCAAAGATGAGAGTGTAACAGCAAACACTGGTTAGAATGTTTAA